GCCGCCAGTGCGGAATACCAAGGAAATCTTTTTCGACTTGACGGGTGGTGCCACTGATGGCTTCTGACATCCAAGTGGAAAAAACGCATCGTGTTGCGTCTCGGAAATCGAAACCAGGTGGTTTATACGCACGGAATGCCACTGAGAGAGACAGAAACACAGAAGGAGCTCATCATTTACATGACGAACGTTCTAAAACATTTCACATCATAATGTAAGGCGGCAACTTCAATGGAGTACGCCATCGAGCGAGCATTTACAGTTTTTGACGAAAACTGGTTCTCTCTAAGGTCTTGTGGAGGCCCTCACGCATCGCCTTGGCAGGCACATACTGCAGCAACAGGCCGACTACGTGACTAGGTAACTCTAAAAACGCAAGCATATATGTGAAAGTAAGACTGTTTCCACTTGAAACAGTAATCGCCTTACACTGTTGCCAGTTCTTCTGATTTGCATGTGACAAATAGGGAGTTCAAATGTGTGAATTTATTTCCCTCAAATACACCGAAATAAGATGCCAGTTCTGGAATATGCCCTCTTATGGTCGCCTCAAAACATCGGTCTTTAAAAAATGACCACTTGAGCGGCAGGACCCTTTTTCATTGATTTTTGAAGTCCGTACAAAGTCAAACACATTTTGTAGGAAGAATGCATAAGAATATCCTTTCTCGTATTCACATAGGAGTAAATTATGTACTCTGAGAATTGCCTACGCGAAAAAACACCACCTACCACAAAGTGGTTCAATTTACTTTTGCAGCCTGAAATTACCGTTCTTTATACAACCCAGTCGTCAACTGACTGGGAGGCCTCAGACAACGCCAACATTGCGGGACCGGCTTCTAGGAATGAGGATAGCTGCAGACACCAGTCACACCTTTTTCCGGAGCGGGCGTCCAAGGAAAGTGCAACGAATCGCCTTCGCCATCAAGAACGATATTGTCAGACGGATGACTTGCCTACCACTGGCAATTAACGATGGCTTCACGACCATGAGGACAGATAATTGCCAGCACCAGCACCTATGTTCTCCCTTCCCACCGTCATATGAGGGAAGAGGTTTAATAAGATCTACAAGCCCTCCTCTAGGTCGTGCCGAGAGCGGCGACTTCATTGCTCATGTCAGTGTAAACTGGGTTGCTTAGGATGGTGAACAGGGTTGCCGCAGAGACGCCAACTACAGCGCCAAGGGTGCATTTTTTTCTGCAAAAATACAGAGAATACAACCTTCTCCCACCGGCACCTTGTCAGAAAACTGGGAGAAGACAGCGTGCATGCATCCGCACTCACGTCACCAGCGACAGTTGGTTTGCGTGCTCGTCAGGAGGTGAGATCAGAGCGATGTGTGATGCGGGGTGCTGAATAGACCACCACTGTGGTCTTTGGGTGACGACACCACAAATGCAGCCGTAAGCACTGATTGGACTTTAGCAATCGCATAAAAAATAGCCTGGGACGAATGCAAGTGCTGGAAGAGAACGATGATAATTGGACGAAATATTCTGCTGACGCAAATCCAACCTCGATGAAACGGCCACGCTCTGGCCGGTGTATTCAGATACCGCAGGGGCTAATTCAGACAGATGCACATACATGATCAGTAGAAGCGGGATGACCCACCACACGGGTGTCCTCGAAAGCTAACTCTGCACGCGCACACACACCCCAATGCACGTCGATAACGTATGAGCCCACTCGGTGACATGCGCATGCACGTCAAGGATTAGCTAAATATTACAAACCGCTCGCGCAAAAATCACACGATGCTACTCGCCAGTATCGTCATGAAGAACGAAAACGTCGCATAACCGCACGTGCACCTCACTTTTGTGCTCTAGTGGATTTCAGTGAGAGACCGTTACGTAAGTGGCACGTGTACACATGGGGGGGGGCCCTCGCGCCACGTCAACCACTGTGGTCAGTTGCATTCCCAGTCGGCCGACTCGCGCGGACAGGAAACTGGTGCATAGGAAACGAAATAGAGCCGAACCGATAACGAGGCACCCATTCACGCGACACTCCATCCAGTTCTTAGACGTGAAAGTTTGAGCGTCGTATGCGACGACGTCCGCGTGTGCCCCCCACGGAACGGGAGTATTGGGAGTGCCTACACTCCCGAAAACAAGAGCCAGCCAATCACTGAAGGTCACGTGCGTTTCCTCTATTGCGCTGTCATCTTAATTGTGGCGCTTTTCTATTGGTTTTTCTCCTCGGGCCTGATCGATCTGCGTATTCGAATTATCGACCAGCTCGTCTGGAATGTTCTTCCCGAAGGGCATTGGGCCGAATGCCGGCGAACCACAGTAGGGCGTTATAAATATGCGGTACTGCCAGTTAATCATGACTTGCAATTTCCTAATACACATTTTCGTTGCCGGTCGCGTTCTCCTCTGCAGCGTTGGTATTGGGGACAAGAGTCGGGTACGCATACGCTCCCACGTGCTTTCAATTACCAGGCCGGGTCATAACAGGGAGAAGCATCGGCGACTTGAACATGATGCAGCTTGTAGTGAGATAGGCTGGCGCAACATCTACCGTACTCTGCCTTCCCTCATCAACCTGGCCCTGATAGCAAGACAATGTCACGACGACCAAAGATGGGTTCGAACGGATTCCTCAATAAATGGCACGCGCCCGAAACCAGCAGTATGCGATAAAGAGCGTGGCCTGGAGGGTTGTGATCCAACGGCATAGCTCGAGTCCCCTTTTGAATTATGGCCAGGTTGTAATGGGTTCCTCCTTAAGTGTGGCCCTCGTGACATCTCCCACTGCAGTGAGACCCGACACAATGCGTGGGGCACGCTGGTTGGCAGTTTTGCGGCATGTCATCCACTGCGCCCAATTTAATTCCAAAGTCGGCTGAACTTGGACGGGCTAATGGCATACGGGAGAAGGTAAAACCGGAGTTAAGTCGATCATACCTAAAAGGAACACTTCGTGTTCTGACTGCAAACAACCAAGCGGGCTTTTAACTTACCATAATGCGTCAACTATCGTGGCTCGGGAGATTGCCGACTAACGGAATAAGTCAGTCCTATGAAGGGGTGGGTAATAAAGCTGAAATGGTTCCCCTTTAGTGCGGCCAGCATGGCATTCTAGCTTCCGTGTGAGATCCGAGACAACCTCGTTGCTGCCTCGTAAGTTTAGAATTCGGGACCAGGTTGTGTTTAGCACACGCAGATCGGCTGTTTACTTTAGTCAGCCATTGCGCACAAGCCCAACTACGGCGGTCATGAGTCTGGTCTTGTCAGCGTAACAAAGTGGGTTTGGAAAGTGAGGAAATCAGATGCAACACAATTACAGTAAATGGGCTAATTCATGAAATCTCAATAGAAATTCCGAAATGCGTTTCCGTTTCGAAAAGATTAATGAAGTAGAGTTGTAAAACCAATCGTCGTGCAGCATAGTTCTAAAATAATTCAGTTACCCCAGGACGCCGGATTTCTAAAAAACTTCTTTCCGGCTGCATCTAAATGCCATACTCCGTAAAAAATGACTACTTAAGTAGCCTGCATTTGTTTCATTGAATTTCGATGCCCTTAAATATTCAATTATATTTCATGGAAAACATGCCTAAAAATATTCATTCTTTTGCTCTTTCAATAGAAAATTACTTCTTTCAATTTCACACTCGAAGGGTATAATTTGGTTTTATAAAACGATATCAATTCCCGAATAATTTTGAACCCGACCTGCCGTTACACTTGCATTCAGGGTTCCCAAACTGCCAGCCGTCTAATTTCCGCGTATGGAAAACTATACATTTCTCTACGCTATTAAGAGGAGACCATATGGGGTTCATAAAAGTAAGCAGTGGATTTGGGCCACATAGTTAATTTTACAAGCCACATTGGTAACTGCAGAGACGACGTTTTATGAAGGGCCATTTCACGGTATTAAGAAATCTCACAGTTAGAAACTTTTTAAAAGCGAATAATACTTTTCCTTCGAGTGTAAAATTGAAAGAAGACGTAATTTTCTACTGGATTAGCAGAAGAATGAATAATTTTATGCATGAAATATAATGAAATCTTTAAGGGCACCGAAATTCAGTGAGAAAATGCATGTTACTTAAGTAGCCATTTTTTACAGAGTATGGTTTTTGGATGCAACTGGAAAGAAGTTTGTTCAAAAGCCGGCATCCTGCGGTAACTGAATAATTATAGAATTATGCTGCACGATGGTTGTTTTTACAACTCTACTTAAGTAATATTTTCGAAACGGAAACGCATTTCGGGATTTCTGCTGACATTTCATGAGTTAGCCCACCTGCTGTAGGCTCCATTATAAATAAAATCAAAGCGCAAGTTAAAACTGCGCTCACATTGTGTGTCGATGACGATCCTCGCAGTGAGTGACGGTCGAACTATCGGGACGACTCCTCTATGGTGACGCTGTTACAGGGTTCCGCCAACAAGGACAGAAACGTACTATGAGGACGTCCTAGAAGTATTGCTCAAACGCAGCGGAATTGATTAAGGGTCTTGGAAAAGTTGTGCACATAATCGGATAGTGCGGCGGATTGTCGTGAATAATCAATTTTTGCAGCCAATTAAAAAAATGAGACCAAGGTCAGGAGGCAGAAAAATAAGAACGTAATACTGATAGCAACTTTGCCCACACACATTCAGGATACCCACTGGTCTTATTATGAAACACCGCCATACCGATCGCAGCAAGGAAGACACCGATAAGGACACTACGTCGAAAAACTGTGCAGATGTTGACACAAACCCTGCACATCTGCCCAAACTGTGAACGCGTTTTCCGGGCCTAGACCGCTCTCGTCGAACACCTCTGTACCCAACTTTATGGAACTTACCTCATACAGCAAACAAATACTGCCATTTCGCCAGAAAAGTATAAAGCTCTAAAGTTGCGCGACTTCAAACCACCGAAATCAGCCCAATAACAAGCGGACCAGGCTGACTCGTCTATCCTTACGGCATTTGTGGTTCCAAGATGAGGCGCTCGAGGTAACGGCTGCGCAACCTGAACTAATGCACACGCCCCCCGACAACGCCATTGACACTCCGCCCTACATCCAATTTCAACAAAACATTTGCATTGAGGGGAGACTCATCCAGCAGCTCCAACTCCATTTTTGCAAGGACCACTTTATTCCTCTGCTAGTTTCCAAATCACAAGCACAATCTGATGAACAGGAAGACCTGCACAGCATTGACGTGCCTCTTCTTCCCAATCCCATCGTCTTAAATGGATGCAATGACTCACCCATGGGTTCCCCAATATCCAGCCTAGTTGCGGAATTGGTCCTACAAGAGCTTGAAAAGGTTGCTTTCAGCCATTACAAACCTGCGTTTTGGCGCCGATACGTGGAAGATACATGCGTCATTATTGAAAAGGACAAGCTATCGGGTTTCCAAGACCTACTTAACAGCATATTCCCCGACATTCAGTTTACAAGAGAAGACGAGGAGGACGAAAAACTACCCTTCCTGGACGTGCTCGTCACGCGCACACCTGACGGTGAACTCAGTACTACAGTGTACAGAAAGGCGACCAATACAACCCAGGTCCTCAACTATCATAGCAACCACCCATTGGTGCACAAACGGGGCTGTGTGAGGGCGCTTTTCGACCGGGTAAAAACGCACTGTAGCGAGTCCGAAGGAAGGATGCAAGAACTACGGCATCTCCGGGACCAATTAACAAAGAACGGCTACCCAAATAGCTTTATCAGTCGCTACATACGCGCACACCCACGCCGGGCAAACGGAAGAGAGACACCAACAATTTGGCACTCCATACCGTACATAAAGACTGTGTCCGAGGCTACAGAACGCATCGCGTCAGAGCTAGGCGTGGGCATCGCTCATCATCCGGCGGCCACCATGCGTAGCAGGATCATGAAAATGAAGGATCGGCTGGACGCAGGTGAACAGTCGGGCGTAGTCTATCGAATCCCGTGCCAAAACTGTCCTTGCCACTACACAGGCCAGATAGGACGACGTCTGAGCTCACGAATACTTGAGCACAAACGGGCCGTTCGGAGAGGCGACCCACTGTCTCAAGTAGCCACTCACACGCTCGAGGAAGGGCATGAGTTCGAGTTCGCCAACACGCGGATATTGGCGCGAGCCGGCAACAAGACAGGGCGAGAGCTGTTGGAGGCGTGGGTGTCGAACACCAACTCCAGCAACAGACACATCGATTTGCCTGCGTGTTATCACGCGCTCCGCCCACGCAGCCAGGTGGCGCAGCTCACACCGTCGCGAAGTGCAAATGGCGTCACCACGCCGGGGGAACATCGTGGACCAGGCGGCACAAACCCTACCTAGCCACGGGCGTACTCCCCCTCCCCCCCGCAAGGATGAACGATATAAATGTTCACAATTTACTGCACTCGAGTAACCTCTGATGATGAACTCTAGTTCGAGTTCGAAAGCTCAGGCAAATAAACTTACTGTCCCAGTGATCGTGCCTTCGCCTTCTTTCACCTGACTATGTGTGCCACACATGGCTGACCCCTCCTCGCTCAACGAACGAGATTACACAAAACGTCACCGTGTGGCAATGCGCTCAGGGTAGATCTCATCCTGCGTCACCTCTCAGTAAAGTCAATTATCGAATTGTGGCCGTAGCCATCGGCGCAGCTTCTTAATACAACAGATGGTAACCGAGATCCAGTAGTGGTCACATTTAATTGGCAGCTGGTGTAACGACTAGTTGGTTAAAGCGACCACCCCTTGTCGGCCCACTTGATAAGATGCCATGATGGTTAATCTACTGTCATCGACGAAAGCCACCACTCGGCGGGAGGAGGCGGTGAGTTGCGTGTGAATTGGTTGCCAGCGAGAGAGTTGCGCAGTATCTACTTTGCTCCCCCTTTTACATGCCATCCTCCAATAGCCGAACTAATTCAGGGGGACTGGAGATGGGTGGAGACATGGTGACGGAACCCACGTAACCGTGCTGGTGCGCACACGTGCGCGAATCAGCTCCAACAGAAGAGTCTCAGGGCCCGCATCGAT